CTATTCACATTTCCTAAATCATCCTATCACACCTTCCCTGTCACAATTTTTACCGTGCTTATTTTGATGTGGTGTGGTGTGCTCCTTCGAGCGGCATCCATCAAAACCCTTCACACTCCATGTGGCGTTCTCACCCCCTTCTCCATTTTGCTGGGAATGTTGACCAGAATCTGTCATATTGTTACGTAGTCCTTTCCTGGGTCCTATCAAAGTCTCCCTCTTGCCCCATAAGATCCGTCTACTCTCTCCCTGATTCACATAGTTCACTCGACTCCTGCCACCCAATCTGTGTTGCTCGAGGCGTTATTCGCCCTGCCCCTATGTCTGGGTGATTAATTCGAGGCTAACAACTCTGTGTAAGTACATGCTTACTCATTTTCTACATGGACCACGTTTATCGTAAAACAGACCTACTGTCAGCCTCCTAGCTCCTATCGCCGCCACGTCTATCCTGTTTCTATCACTAATACCAAGTCTATGACTTCCCATGCCCTAGTCTCTTGTGTGTCAACCCACAAATGTTATGGTACAGCTTGTTTTGATTTGGTTCAATGTTAAATGTTCATTAAAGCATTTAGATTCAATGAAAGGTGTTTATTGTTAATGCTTCTGTTCAATCGCATTTTTACAATTCCAAAAACCATGTCTGAATAATGATAAACCTTGTGTTAAATTCAAAATCTTTTAGTATTCATGAGATGTCCAGCATCGTACTGTTGGTTTGACACATTCTCAGAGGTTTCATTAAAATCAAAAGTGAAAAGGGCCATCTTTCTTGGAAGGTACCAAGTCAACTATAGGACCTAGGGTGAACACACAGCGCTTATCCAAGATCGATTGGTAATATCGAAGCCTGCTCAATACAAACATACGAAAGAGTAGACGACGATTTTTACTACACATTTTATATGCAGTGTCCTGCTTTTCATGCAATGTCACCATGCTCTTGTAAAACAGTTCTATTTGTTTACTGTTTACCTAGTTTAAAATGTGGCTAAAGTAAATGCTTCAGTTTCAGACATGAGAAGCTCTGATAATTGCTACTTACTTTTTTTTACAGTCGACTCTAAATTTAACTATTTAGAATCGAAAGAGTATGTTTAATGTCTATCAGTGGAACTTGAAATAGAACGAAAGCCAGCCTAGGTCCTTTAAGTTGATGCAAGGACTGACAATTGAATCTCCCTCAACCAAATCAGAAGACCTCCGGGTGCCGTTTAATTTCACCCAGTCTCATTCAGACAGGAATTTAGTTTCGATCTTGCCTCATCTTCTCATCAATGCCCCCAATGGGATTCGAGCCCAAATCATGCACTTTGAATGGCAACACGATAACATTCCAACAGACATTCAAGGTGGCTCAGACCTCCTACAAATCGCACAATTTTAGCGGGATTATCAATGAGGCAAACTAATTGTTGCCATTCAAGTAGATGGCACTACTATGTAATTAATGAGTAGGTTTGGAGATTATTAGTTGGTCTTGAATAGGAACTTTATGATGTTTCTAATACAGTTAGGGGTGCAGATGGTAAATTGGCGAGTTGTAAAATCATCTCCTTCTATGCGGTTATGGAAAAGCCTTTTAAAAGAAAAGACATGGAATGAAATGGGATCATGGTGTCTACTCATTTCATTTTGGAAAATCAGACTATCCGTCTTAAACCCCCCTAAACGAACGAGGCTGAATATTATTCTTAATTAATGCGAAAAAAAATTTGGTTTCG